TGTTGTTAGGTCTTGTAGTCTGCACCATAATGAGAGATAGGGGACAGTGGCTGTTTTCTAATAGAAAATAAAGGATTGGTTTCCATGTCTTTTTACATTTGAATGCAAAATGGCACACTTGAAACTAATTCAAGTTGTTATGAAGTCTCCCATTATATGTATGGTATCATATAAATATATTATGCTAAATCGACCCCCTCTGTAATGAATGAAATATTACTTTGAGGTTTTTCTTAAGTTTTTTTCTTCAAAAATATAAAATTGCCCACTGTTTCACCCTAGCCCTGCTGTCATTACACACACACACACACACACACACACACACACACACACACACAGTAAGTGAAAATTGCATTTAGAATGGAAAAAAATCAAGCTACCAGGTTAAATGTGACATACAATATATTGGAGACTACCATCCTAAATAAAATCTTACACATCAAAAAAATCAAGGTCAGTAATGTATCTAGAATCAAATCACATGGAAAATAAGTAATTTTTTTCTTTGTGTTTGTATATATCTTTAGTGGAGTGATATGAAGCATATGTAATGACTATAAATGCCATTATTTTTCTGTGCTTAAAATTTTATTTTAAAAGGAAGATGTAGATCACAAAGATATTCATGAATTTCAAAAGAGAAGAATGCTTTTCTTGGATGCAAATGCAATGACAGTTGAATGCTGCCACACCAACACTCCCAGTACCATACACAATGAAATGTATATATGTTTGCCGTTGTATACATGTGTCATAGTTAAACATATAATCTTAAACATGCTCTCTATTTTCATGTGCATGTGTGGAAATGTATGTTTGTGCCACTACACGTAAAAGAGCTCAGAGAAGTATGACAGTGAATAATAAAGAATGATTTTGCCTCAGCATAAAATGGTATATTAACAAGCAAATTGTCTTTTGGGAATTAAAAAGCACTATTTCAGTATTATTTAATTGATAATACAGCTAGTTAGAAAGATTTATATTCCAAATTGATTAAATAATTAAATGAATGATTATAATTAAACTTTTTTCTTTACAGCCCATCTACTCTATTCTTTTTATACTGAAATAATGATACAAAGGAATAAACCCCAAAATAGGAAAATGAGATTATGAAAGTATTTAAATTCACCTTTACTTTTGAGTAATAATGAACTTTTTAACATGCCTTTGGGAAATAAGATTAAATATACTTAAAGGACTCCTTATTAGTAAGTGTTCATTTAATTTAGTTAAGTCTGTAAATGATTAAATAATGGAATACTCTTTGATTACCAAACTTGTCTTTCTTAGGTTTTCTATTTTATTTTATTTTTTTATGCCTGGGGATCCAACTCAAGACCTCGCGCTTGCCATGGCTGGTGCTTTTGCCGCTAAGCTAAATCCTTGGCCCTTGCTATTTATTTTAAATTTAATCAGGCTAGTTTCCAGAAATGCCATAAGCTAAATTTCTTTCATGACCTATCAAAACACTAGAACAATCTAGGCTTATTTGTGCAAAACTCTGGAAAGACTTGTTGCATTAAATGTCTGTAAACAGAAAACTGGATAAAGATAAACATACATGATTTTTTAAAAAGTAGTTTATAGTTTCAGTGAATCTCTACAAGGTTGGCATTTTTATTCTTCTTTGCCCTTTGTGGGTATTATGGAATGATCTGACTAGTTGGCAGGCACTTACGCTTACCTATGCTACATTAAAAAGATATATTACATGTCTAAATGTAGGGTAAGATATTAGCTTGTTTAAAGATGATAAAAATCAGCATTTGTACACTTCTAAGAAAAACATCATCTGCTGAATTAATATTTCCATTTCAGAATTTTTGGCAGTAAAAGTTTGAAAAACACAAGCAATTTCACATTGCTATTGGTACTGAGTAATACAGATTTTCTTCTTAGGGTCTTTAGTTCATAATACTAAGCTGAAGTGATTAAGGAAGAATCTGTTAGAATCAGGTAAAACAAATCCAATAGTCTTAAGTTGTTAGAAAATTCAGTGTTTTGTTTAAACAGAATCATATATACTGTATATTAACTGTTCTAAGCAATCTTTACTCAGCTCAGAAAGGCCAGATGTATGGGAATTGTAAAAAATCAGGATATGCATAAAAACTGTTCAAGTGCATAAAGCAGCCCCATCTGGAAGACATCTACCAGAAATGAAGTTGTACAAAACCATTCCATTGATAATAAAGCTAATTTTTATGGGTCTGACAAGTATGTAATTATGTTCAGTGGTGCTTTTCAGATTTTATCACAGTCAATAAACCGCAGTGGTAATTTCATTCCCATTTGACATATTTACATGGAAACATTTGATTGGAGGAATTAGTAACCCTGAAAGCCTTGATAGATATGTTTTAATGATCTGTGACCTCCACAGTCCCTCATCTGTTTATTGTTGCAACAGGCGAGAAGTCGTTCCTATGTGACCTCTGCGGCTTTGCTGGCGGAACTCGGCATGCCCTCACCAAGCACCGCCGGCAGCACACAGGTCAGTATAGAGGCTGCCAGCCTGCTGTCTAGAGACAAGAGTAAGGTATCAAACCTCCTTGCCACCACTCTTGGCCTTATAAATTACATTCGCTTTAATATTTGTATCAAATATGTGTACTTGAGGGCCTACAGAAAATTCTATTCAAGTAAGTTTTAAATAGTCTTCTTTTATATACTTAAAAGGTGGGCATATTGTATATTTCAAGCATCACTCAGTAAATTCATATTAAATAGGAGGAAGTCAGTATTTTAGCTTTCAAAGCTCTGATGTACAACTATCTCAACAATACTGTGTCTTAGCCTCCTCAGTGGAAACTGGGAAATCCCTGTGTATAGTCATCTTTTCTCCCCACTTTGTACCTTCTCATTCACTTGTATGTGGATCTCCCTTCTTGCCTACCCTCTTATCTGAACATCGAAAAGAATGCCTGTACCCATAACTTACATTCATGGTGATTCAACAAAATAAAATAGACTTTGATTAGGAATGTTTAAGATGGAAAAGTTTAAAATACTTAATCAAGTTTTTTATTTCCTACTTTGTAGAATCTGATGATTCTTATATGTGCTTCTTTTCATAATTCTAAATTTATTTCCCTGGGATAGTACTGATTCATGACAAGTGTCCCTTTTAATTACTAATAGAATCAAATTTTAGTATATTTCCTCATCAAGATGATATGTCATCTGATAGCACAGTTGACAACTTTAGTTGCTGTACTTTTCTTTGAGTGCCAGTAAGAATCACTGGGTTTGACAGTTACACTCCAAATAGCATGGAAACACACACAAAATATTATTAATTATAGTACATTTTTATTTTCAAAATACAATATTGAATGGATACAGGAAGCTTTAATCCCTAAATGGTGTTTGCAGGATACCATCTTGAAAATGAATGCCACACATTGCTTCTAGATCTTGCATAAATACAATTCAGATTTCTGTGTGGTTTATAAGCCATTAAGTCAATGGGAGCTTTTCAATGTGTAGTATAATGTTAGAAATTTCAGTTTAACTTTAAAAATATAAAACTTCATTGTAAATTTAGAGAAGCTAGTTGCGCATACATTAGTTTAATCCAGTGACTTAATGATTCAATCAATGTAAGGTGGTAGGAGAGGCCCAGTTGGTGTGAGTCATCCTTGGCCCATATTGTGGAGAAATTAGAAATATGTACAGAAACAGTGTGCTTATAAGGGTTTTTATGTATAATATTTTCAGTTTACTAGTGGTCAAAGTGTTGTGATTTAAATATCACTGTAAATGACCTAGTGTCATTTGTTGTGGCCCTAGGAGACTGCAGACTCCCCTCTCTGCCACCTCTGCCAGTGGGTAGTGCCCCTGGTTGCCTTGCTATGGAGATAATAATACTACAATCACAGGCGTTCCAGCTGATGGATCGATCAGGAAGCCTGCATCGAGCTGGCACAACTTTATATTTTATGTCAGGTCCAGAGACTCCTTATTACTTTGCTATTAACTTTATACTATATAGGACAATGTCTCACAGACAGAGGTATCTGTCTTTTTGGCATTTATCTGCCTCTGTGGCACAAATCAAACATGATTCTTTAATACCAAACTCAGTCCTTCAGACTGTTGGCTTCAACAAAACAGCTCAGTTCAACTCAGTCTAGGCACTTAGCTTTTATGCTGGATTTAAAATGTTTAAGCAACATAAAACTTTTTCCTCCAAGGCCGAACTTGAATAGTGCATTTGAAACCTATTTTTCTGATGTGTCCCTCCATGACATGGTTTACCTTTTTACCACAGAGTGTCCCTGCAAATTACAATCAGCTAGGAAAGAGGTAGGTACCCGAAGTGTTCTAAATGGCATAAATAATTCCCTACTGCAATACAGACTGTCTAGGGGGCTGACACAAAACATCTTCCATTCTGAGATTTACTTTTATCACCTGTCAGAGACCCTTGATTCAAGGGCACAGGAGCCAATGCTCACGTGTAGTTGAGGAGTCCTGGCCAGCTTAATAACCTCTAACCCACCCTAAGGAATGTGAAGTGTGATTTCCATGAGATGTGGTCAGCTAGGTTGACAAATTGTTGACATACAAAAGGATACTACACTATGGCGACAAGCTATTCTGGTATCTCTGCTTTAACTTTTACCTTTCTATCAGTGTTACGTAAGGTCCAAAGTATTCCTGGTGGTTATGTTGTCTGAGATTATTGCTTGTAAAGGAAAGTGTAAAAACTTGGACCAGTATACACTGTTCTGTTATGTAAAGGAAATATAGGAAGAGTGAAAACATCTTTGCTTTTTTGAGTAGAATATATCCAAGTAGAATTGTAGACATAAATAATATCATTATGTTAATATTTTATATTATTTGTCCTTCTGACAGAGGATTCAGAAACAATCAGTTCTCCATGCAATCCCCTTTCTTAGCAGGTGCATACACTCTTTATCAAGTACCTTCTTACTGCAAACAGATATTTCGAAAACTGAAATTTGAGGCTATATTTGTGAATTTGCTTAATGGGCAAGATCTTGTAAATTTATTAACCACTTAGATTCACTATGAAATTCTGATAACAAATTGATACCAAATTGTAAAATTTTCTGCCAAACTGTAGTCTAGGAATTGGATATATGTTTTTTTAACTAGATTTTGAGGCTAAATGCTGTATATTTTCCTGAAGAAATTGCACATAAGTGATTAAAAATTTACCAAGTTTATTGCATCAGGAGTGTTGACCATGTAGCAAAATATGTGAGTTACAACTTAAGCGTTATGTACAATTTTGAATAAACTTTTGTTTGTTTAAATTGATATAGTGCTGTTATCACTATCAAAAACTCATAGTGAATAGGCGTTTCTTAGCATGCTATTTTGTGTGGTACAAGTTTTCATTGTGTTACATTTTCCTTTTCAACCTATGTACAGTTTATAAATAAACAGTTACACAGTTGAATCTCCTTATGATCAAGTCAGATTTGAAATTATAATTTGATCTAACATAGTGCTGCCTTAATGTGAACTTTGAATTATTAGATTTATAAAAAATACTATTCTTTAAAAGTTTTGTTTTCCAATTTAAATTCACATAAAAAACTGTGAAATCTTAAGTGAAATAAGCCACATTTAAAACATTTTTTAATAGAGCTTGCAGAATTCTTAACAGGATATGCAAAATTTCAAATCAAAACACTGCTGAGAATAATTAAAGACCTAAATAAAGTAGTATACTATGTTCATGGGTGACAGGACTTCATATTAAGACTTTATTCCTTCCTATATTTTTCTCTATAAACCCATGAGTTTGTGTTTGTTTGTTTGTTTTAAGAAATTGACAATATCAACCAGCAATGGTAGTAAACACCTGTAATTCTAGCATTCTGAAAGGTTAAGACAAGAGGATTCCAAGTTCAAACCCAGCATGGACAACTTAACCAGAACTTGTCTTAAAATGAAAAGAAAATACTAAAAATGTAGCTCAGTGTACATACCCTTGGTTAGACCTCAGTACTATGGAGGAAAAAATATAATTTTAAGAATTTGAAATGTAAAGATTTGAAATATTCAAACAGATTAAAAATAAATAAATTAGACTTATTCTACCTTACCTCAAGACTTAATACGAAACTAAAAGCATTGCTAAGAGAAAGAAGACCTGTATCATAGACTTAGAGAAAGTATTTGCAAATCACAAATCTTACAAAGGATTTGTATCTACAACATATAAAGGAACTTTCAAACAATTATACAAAAACTAACAACCAATTTTAAAAAGATCAAAAAATTTGAGCACATGCTTCTCTGGAGCATATAAAAACATGCCGGGTAAGTGCATAAAAAGATGCTCAGTATTCACAGAGAAGTGCAGATTTAAAGCACCAACAACCCTAAATATTGCTAAGGATTTGGAGTAACTGGAACTCTCATACACAAGTGTTGAGCATATAAAATGGTCACACTTTGGAAAACAGTTTTGCTGTGATTACAAAGTGAAATATATATAAACCATGTTATCCAGCCATCCTATACCTGAACAGAAAGAAATACACATCAATTCAATTACTTAAATATAAATCTTGATAGCTGATTTATTTGTTGCAATAGCCACTTGTGCAAACAATTCAAGTGTCTTTCAATGGATTTATGAATAAAATATTGTTATATTCATGTAGTGAATACTACTGTCACAAAAGTAAATGAAGTATTTATATCCATAGCATCATAAATGAATCATGAAATAATTATGCTAAAGGCAAGATTAGGAAAAAAAGTGTATAACTGGTATATTTCCAATACATAATTTTCAAGAAAATGCTAATTAATATAAAGTGATAGAAAACAGATGTATGGTAACAGAGCTGAGATGAGCAGGGAGAGGAGCATGGCATAGAAATCCTTTGAGAATAATGGTTTTGTTTGTATACTATTTTAATTGTGATTATAATTGCACCAATAACAAAACTTACTAATGTCCCCTGTAAATATGTGAAGTTTTTATGTTTTTATTATACCCCATTGATGCTATTCAAATACTGTATACATTCTGTGATCCATCAAATTATTAGGCTAGTCAATGTTGATTTTCTTTTCTTTTTTTTTTTCTCCTGGTGATTCTGATGATTGAACCCCTAACTCCTTTGGACTGCATGACATTGAAGCATACTTTTTATTCTGTTTTGCAACAGTGTCTTACTAAATCATTGGATTACCTAAGTTAGGCTGGTACTTGTGATTCTTCTGCCTTAGCCTCCCAGAGTGCTGGAATTATAGGCCTGCACACTAGGTGCAGCTTTTTTTTTTTTTCCTTAATGGCTTTCCCTTTGATTCTGGTCAATTCAAAAATTATAATTTTTAATTTAGTGACCATGTTCAGTTTTTATAATGAATGTAACATTTTCAGTTATGCTTTTGCTTTCACGTGACTGTTGATTTCTGTACTACAGAATATTTGTCAGTTAAATATAAAGAGATTGAGTTATTTCCTTTCATCCTTATGCAATATGAATATCATACTGT